TCCTATTTGACTATGTCAACTGCAAAAAAGAGTTTTATGCTTCTCCTTTTGATTTTGAGAATTCCAGTTATGCAAATAAGTCTAAAGATTTCCTCTATAGTATACTGCTTATAGCTAACAATAATGTATTGTATACTTAAAATTTTCTGAGAGTATTCCTTATATTAAGTCTTATATTATTATGTATTATATATTAATTTCCACAGAAAAAAATTAATAATAATAATAAAGGGGGGAAGAGAAAACTGGGAATTGATGGATATGTTTATGGTCTTGAATGTAGTGATAGTTTCACTGGTGTATAATTATCCCCAAACATATGAAGTTGCATACCTCAAATATATTCAATCTTTTACAAGTCAAAAAAATGAATAAAATAAAAATTACTAGAAAGAAAAGAAAAGAAAAAGGAGAGAAAGAGAATTGTGTCAGAAGTAAAAGTAAAACTAACTAACTAAAAAAGAATTGGAGAGGGAGAATTCAAATCACATAGGTCATGGAAAGGAAATAAGGGCTAAGAAGTTTTGAAAATTTGGAGACAATTCAAGAATACTCAGCATCAACAAAATCCATTATGCTATAGAAAAAAAAAGATTGTTTAATTACCCTTAACAATATTGTGATGAAAACACAAAAAGAGAACAGATTAAAATGCCAAAATAATTATAATAGCATAACTCACAGTCTTAAATCTCTAACTTCAAAAGTATATATATCTTATGTACTAAAAAATATCTGTAATAACCCTGAAATAAAATAAAATACTATCAAAAGGGTAGAGAGTTTGAAGGAGGCCTCCGAGCTAGACATCCCCTTTCGAACATTGTACCTAAGTGTTTGCAACAAAAGCATTTGACATTGGCGCTCAAGCAACAGTAATAGTGATTTGCACTGAAGGGATGGGCCTTTGGCAAGACTCTGGAAGAACAATAAAGTTGCATTCTCAGGAGTCAAAATTCTAGTGTTTCATAGCATATCTCATCATTATCCATGGCCTACTGAGATAGGATTCATGAAACTAGTAGAGCATCAGAGAACTAGTGGAAAACACAGAAAAGATGTACATACAGTTTTTTAAAAATATTAAGTATTAGAAAGGCACCAAACTCAATAATCAGAAGAGCTAACAGAGAAAACGATTATTAGAACAGTAACAAAAATGCAAAGAAACTGCAAATAATACATCTAGTGGGTTTAAACAGAATATTAAATCTATGATACTGTAATGATATAAAAAAGATTATATGGACTTTAGAACTAAAAAGAAGAAATCATTTGCATATAAATACTTTGGGTATAGTTGAAAAAGGCTATCAGTATCTTAGATTTAAATGGCAGTTTCTGGAAAAACATGTTATAAAACCCCCAAATAGTTGACATACCTAAAAAAAGAAAGAGATTCCTGGAGAATAGTTCCAGAATTCCATCTGCCATATATAATGCAGAGAGAATGCAAGGGAGAAAATAACTGAAGTTATACCAAAGCTTTTTAAAATAAAAATAAGTTTCCATACATCAAGAAAGCTCATGGTTTAGAGAAGGAAAATGGGGTGATAGAGAACCTTTAATGTTAGAACTTCCAGGAGAGGCAAAATAAAAATCTAGACATGAAAAACATTGCTTTAAAAATTTTAAACTGGATAGTTGGGTGAAACAGATTAGAGATAACTCAAAATAGAAAGAACAAAACAAAAGATAAATATGAAGAAATTTCCTAGAATCTAACAGTAAGATACAGACTAACCAATTAAAGAGAAATTAAGAAACACAGAAAAAAGAATGAAATCTAAAGAGAAGAAGTCTTAGAGAAAAAAAAGCTGAGATGAAATAATTATTTCTAAAGACAATGGCTAAAAAATTTCCATAAATGAAGAAAAACATGCATTTTTGGATCTGAGAGATAAACACACAAGCAGGATAGATACCAAGAGAAATATTAATATAACTACAGAAACCAAAGATAATGACAAACTTTGAAAGCAGCTGAAGGGAAAAGATAGATTATCTATAAAAATATGAAAATCTACAGTGAAAGCAAATATTTAATACAAGTATTCATGAAAAAGAATCTTTACAATTGAATTTTTTTAATTATCAATAAAAAGGACATATCTTAAATGTCTATCATCAGAAAATTTAATAAATAAATATTTGAATACATATGTAATGTCAAAATATTTAGTGTAAAATATTCACAATGTATAGCTGTAAAAACTAGAGCTAAAAGTATCAACATAATAATTTTTTATGCAGAATTGTAGGTATTTATAAATGTAAATAAAGTGATTATCTATAAACATATGAGCCTGGACATTTAGGAATACTTAAGTTAATTTAGTGAGGTTTCAAACTATGCAAGTGTATGTATGCTGTCTCAGGAAGGAGCTGGGGTTATAAAAGGTTCAGCCAAAAAGCAAAGTTACTCTGTTTTCTTACAGCATTGCCCAGGGGAAGTAGGTGCTGGCCAGCACACAAGTTTCTGGTCAGCTTACCAGACTCCACCCTCCAGGGAGCACAGAAGACTCTGGCTCTCAGCACTTCAGCCTCAGGCACTAAGGTCGCTCGACAAAGGCTCCGCTCAATTACATTTAATTTGACGAAGAAATGAAAAAGGAAAAAGAGAAAAATGAGATGGGAATAAATTTTGAGGATTTCATTATCATTATTTTTTACTTGAATGGCATAGGTACAAGTCTTTCTTAGAGGAAAAAGTTGCATAATGGATGGTGAAAGGCTCTTGGAGAAAAAAGGTCACAGATCTATAGTGAAAGTATATTAAAGGAAGAGCAATGCTTTCTCTAAAATTCACAAAACAGACAAAAGAAATGAAAAGAAACTGAAAATGCCATTGATATTAGAGCACATGATTGAGAAAGTTTACGTATTTTTTTAAAAATGAAGTAGGAAAATGATCCGTTACTTTGAGAAGCAGGAGTAGAGATTATTAGAAAAGCAGTAATTGTTCAATAGCTACGTGGGGACAAGGAACAAAGAATAGATGAGAGACAAATGCAAACACAGTTGAGGAATGGTGAAGACCTAACAGAAGATAGAGACAAAAGATTTTCATGGCTCAATTAGTATGGTCTAATTCTTCTCTAGAAAGTCATTGATAATTTTAGCCCAAGCTTGGGTGTGAATAGGGCAAAGAAAAAAGATAAAAATAATAGGGGAAATAAAAAAATAATAAGGGAGAAATATGGGATTCACATATAAATCAAGTATAAAAATCGAATGAATAATCATATCTAACTTGATTGTTTATAGTTCATGATGTGTGATCAAAAATGAAAGTTTCTTTGTTGACTGCCCTTGCACTGTTCACCATGTAGGAACTTATTCACTATGTAAGAACTTGTTCACCATGTAAGAACTTGTTCGTTATGCTTCAGAAGATTGGAGACTGTTGAGAGTTAGGCTTGGGGTTGATTAATGATTGTGCATTGTGTCCCTTATACAGAATTTTATTGCTGTTAAAAACCATTTGATCAATAAATATGAGAGATGCCCTCTCAAAAAAAAAATGTTACCTAGAAGTTGCTGACTTATTGAATTACAGAAACTCTAGTAGATAAGGAAATAAGTGAAACTGGATAAAGTGTGTAGGGCTAGACTATGTAAATGAAAATATCTAGGAAATGAAAATCCTGGTATGATCAAAATGATAGAAATAAAGAAATGAGAAAGTAGAGAGAATAGGAAAGCATAATTAGAAAGTAACTTCTCATACACATAGTTATTTTCTATCTCACCACTGTCTTGTTTTCAGTATCTATTAATAGTTGATATTTTCTTTCTTCCTGAGATGTGGAATCTTGTTTGACTCATTTACTGATGTATCCCTACCACCTAGAGTGGTTTGGTTCTGGCTGCACAATGCATTAGCAGTAAGATATTGTGCAATAAACCTAATAATTGTGAGCCCTCATTTTCTCATTCACAGAAAGGTTGTAACACTTTCATAACATTTTTGTGGGGATAACATTAGATAATAGAACACATATGCCTATGTCTGGCATACAGGAATGCTCATTATATATTAAGGTTTTAAAAATGTTCCTCATATCTTTGTGATGTAATCTATATCCCCTTTATATGCAATGATATTATTTTACCAAGACATAAAAGATTCCCAGTAAGTTATTTGTCAGCTCTTAGAGTCAAAAACGGTTCCTACTGAGCATTAATAAGGTACTTCCTAAGTATTTTTATCAAGAAGCAAATCACCATGGCAATTATATTGGTAGGTCCAACTAACTGTGCATTGTATATGAGCTGGTGAAGTATTAACACTGTCAGGGTTAATGTTTACTTATACCAGTAAGTTCATAAAACACTTCTGAAAAGATGACTCTGTGTCTTTAAACTTTCCTGTATTCCATCACATTAGAACTTGGTATAGCGTCACTGGCTTTTCCAACATGCTTACTGCCATTACATGCAGAGATGATGTCCTGATTCCTGAAACAATCTTCTGTAAGTGTTACTGTATTGAAAGGACAAGTGCTACTCTTTAAGAGGACAAAGTATGAGCAAGCTTTGATGACTGAATGCAAATTTTCATTTTAAACTTCCTCTTTAGCTTCTCATAAGCTACCGTGACTTTAAAAATCAAAAGGACTTAAAGTATAATCTAAAAAATGTTTAAATTGTACTCTGCCTTCTGTTTGGCAAATCAAAAATTACGTATCTAAATTAATTCCACATGAAAAAGGCACACATGCAATTACATTTATAAACTCTTCATAAAGGGTGTTTCAGTCTGCAAATGAAAGGATGATTCTAGATAAAAAGGAATAAAAAGATTCGCCACTATGAACATTGGAAATTTACCCATTTCTTGCTTATGAGCTGGAAACCTCACCACGAGGTGAAAGAAATTGTTTATAAACACACACACATACACAAATCACAGAAAAACATTAGTTGACAATAAAACATGTTTATATAAGGAAAAAACTTCACAAAAGAATACAATTTTTAAATAAAAGTAATGTAATATATATTTATTATTTGTAAGAAGGACAACACAATAGTGGTGGTGGAAAAGATAGAGAAGCAAGCATTTTTTGGATGGTGCATTCTTCTGCAGCACCATTTTCATCACCAATTTTTCACCCTTTCTGTGTCTTGGTTACTCTTCATTCCAAACTCCACCTAATATATTTAAAATACAAAAGCTAATCAATTATAAGAGCACTTTAAAATGCACAATGCATAGAAATTTTTCATGTGCACAAGAAATGCAAGAAAAAAAAAGATGCTATTTCTTCATCCCTTTTACTGGCATTAATATAAAAGAAAAACATCCTGGAGTCATCCAAACATGGGACACAATTCAAACGTTTTCTGTAATTTTTTCTAGGAGCTGTTTGTCAAGTAAATTATTGACTGTGTCTTTCTATGAAGTTAGAATGTCAAAGTATCACTTTTTACAGCATATTAATTTAGTGTGCCTTTAACTGGAAAGTCAACAAAGTGGGAAAAAAAGGGAGATTTTTGTCAAAAACAGTAAGAATATTCAAGAGCTATTATGGATGGTAAATAGTTGTTAACTGAGCAGGCATTATGTAGGTAGGGCTATTTTCTCCCCAATTTATTTTTAGCTTCTATTTCTCTGAAAGGGAAAAACTGAAACAGAGACATTAATAAAATATCTGCAATATTTTGTTAGGGAGTACAGATTTCAAAACATGAAGCTCTTAGATGACAAATCACAGTAATGCTTTCTTACAAGAAACACACACATATAAATACTAATGGAACAGTGGTAAAAAAGCAACAATTTTATCACATGCCTATCATATCTGCAGACATCAGAACTGTAGAAATCAAGGCTGTCTTTGCTTTCACTAAGGACTCACGAAGTACTGAGGAAAGGTTCAAGGTTTCATTTAATTTGAGGATTATGGTTAGCCAAGGAGCAATTACTTTTTGTAAAGTTTATTTCAAGATTAAATGTGTCGCTTTCCCCACTCCACAGTGGTATGATGTGCTTAGCCATAATGGCTGTGCAGCAAGAGATCGGTTCTGCTTCATCAGTTTATTACCAAGAAGACCAAAAGGAATAGATTAGAAATGTTACCCAATTCAGCCTTAAAGATAATATGCACAGAGTTGCCACAGGCAGGATGTAGTATAATCCACTGACCTGTAAGGTGAGTATGCTGTTTTTTATTGAGCCCAGAATACTTTCAGCATCATTACTAAAGCATAAAATCTGCATGTCAAATGAATTTGTGCTCTCTTCACCTCACATTGATTAACACAAATTAAGTTTCATACTTACCACCTACAGCAGTTAACAAGTAGTACTATCAAATTCTATGATTTTACTGCACTATAATCCCTTAAACTGCTCTTTCCACAATTCCTATTTAATAGAAGCCTGTAGTGTTCAATTTGAAGCAATCATGTGAAATGAAGGTGCTCTGAGCATGTCTCAGATTTTCTGTGTTGAACAACAGAATTTGGAGACACGTGGATATTTCACAGCTAACTTGGTTTCAATAGATGGACCAAATAATTAGTTAAGCAACAAGTTTGGTCTTACATCTTAAATAATCTACGAATTTGCATTAAGAAAACCCAAAAGCATATTATCAATCTCTGTATTCATTTATAATTGTATTCATTTACATAAAAATGTAGAAATATCACAACAAATAATGTCCTAATATGAACAAAATGTGAAGTTTTAAACTGTTCTACTTACAATATTATATTTTCTATTTTCTCAGATGAGAGCTAATGAAAGAGGAATTTTGTTGAGAGTCTATATTCCAAGTGTTCTTATAGAAACTCTCTTTATGCTAAGGTTTCATAAACATAAATAAATGGAGGGATACCATGAGAGACCAACAATAAGGCATATGCTAAAAATCAAAGGGGAAATAAATTTTATTAATCACAAAGATGGTTTTGTATTTTGTGAAATTATTCAGAGAACATTAGGTTGATGTAGTAATAAAAATCAAATTAAGCAGCTTTATAAAGATAAACAAAAAATTATTTAAAATCTACTTAAAGACTGTATTGACATTTGGAAAATATTTCTTAATTCATTTTGGAACATACAGCCTCCCCTGTAGGCTGAGAAATTTATTTTTAAGAGATGATGTTTGTATGTGGAAGGGGAAAGCAGTTAGAAAGGATTCCTTCAACATATGAATGGTAAACTCCAAATATGGGCTCTAGTATATCTGCATCATAACTATCACTTGATATTATAGTGTGTATATGACACTGAATTTTGTGATGGTTCTCTCTCTCCATTTGGAAACTAAACTCAAATATCAAACCAACGTCTTTCATTTGATTGTATGGTTATCTTCTATTTCCCTCAATGTTCTGTAAAATGTTGATGGTCAATAATTACCCTTTGCATTAAGTTATTAACCTAGATGTTCATTTCTCTTATTCTTTGTTATGGGTTGAATGTTTGTGTCCCCTCAAACTCACATGTTGAAGCCCTAACGCCCATTGTAAGGATATTTGGAGATTGGGCCTTGGGGATGTTTTACAGGTTTACATGAGGTCATGAAGGTAGATTCCCACAGCAAAAGCAGTGTCTTAGGAAAAGAGGATGAAACTAGAGCTCCTTTTCTCTCTGCTTATGAAGATACACCCAGAAAGTTTTCATTTGCAAACAAGGAAATTTCTCAGTAGGAACTTAATCTGTCAACAGCTTTGTCTTGGACTCCCCATTCTCCACAACTGTGAGAAATAAATGTTGTTTAAAGCCCTTAGTGTATGGTATTTTGTTGCAGCAGCCTGAGCTGATTGAGACATTCTTAATCCTTAAACATAAAATCAATTTTTTAGCAATTAGGCTTTTCTTTGAATAACATCATTTCATGTACTCAACTATACCTCCAATTTATACCTATTAGGAAGAGATGTGGAATATGACTATTATCATGGAATGCTAATCCTGATACCATATTTTCTACCCTACCCTCGTAGAAAGGATGTAATGTCAATGCAAAATGCCATAAAGTTTTCTATCTCTTTCAACTGCAGAACATTGTAATTTACATGTAAGGCAGGATACATTTAATGTCCATTTTTTTGGAGGATACTAAAATATTTTTCTTAATTTATATTTAATAACTTTTAACTTATAATTTATTTAGCATGTTATTTTCTTTATTTATATTTGAATGTCCATAATATTTCAAATTTAGAAGGAGTCCAACCAACCATTATTATCAATGAACTTGCAAATTAATCAGATGACTTCAGCTGAATGTAGTAACAGTTTTAATACCTGGGACCAATCTCTATATGATCTTTAAGCAATGCATATATTTTCATAAATGTGCAAATTAAGCTCATTGTGATACCTTACATTATCATTATGTGTTCTGTTATAGTCTCACTTGGTCTCTGTAGTCACCCATACTACTCAGAAAGATGCAGGAAAATTAAACATCTACAAGGAATATAATATGTTAATAATATAAATGAAGAATATTCATTACATTTCTAAGAGATATGAGGCCTTCACAAATAGACATTTTTCAATCTAATATCCCTGATATAATTCATAGTGATTGGTATGTACTAGGTTCTTAATATATTTTCTGAATTGAGGAATTAACTAAAAGTACCAGGCACTTTACAAGACATAAGGTATTAAAAAATTGAATATACTGAGGGCTCAGTCCTGAAAGAAATTATAATATAGTGAAAGAGTTCATAGATACTGAGAACTAATCAAACTAGTTAGTAATGAAAATGAAATGATTTATGCAATTGCTAAACTTAAGTCCACACTTTAAAGCACTAAAATTGTGGGCCTAGAAAGTCTTACCAAAAACTCAGGGCTATCATTTATAAACACTGAATATTCAAGCAGTTATTATGTGGGTCTCTGTAATCTGTGGAACTAAAATCACGCAGCAGTGATAGGGTTCCTGACTTAGCCTAGTGCCTGAGCAGGTTTGTTCTGCTGCCTAACACTGGATGGAATGCTTACTCTGAATCAGATACCAAGTTCTTTCCTATCAACATAATTTGAGTGATAATCTCAAGTTCCTACATGTAGGAAGGATTTATTATTGTTTACTTTAGAATTAGGTTAAGGAGAAGCAAGCATTTCAGAAATGGTAGACTTAAGGACCTCTGAAACACTGCTCCTTTGTAAAAAGACAGACACAGGAAAATTTGTCAAAACCAACTTTTCAGAATTCTGGAAATTAACAAAAAGCTTTCAAAGTCTGAGAAGCATCTATTCAAGAAAAATGGCTGAATCTCTGTAATAACTTTATGGTGAACTCTGTGAAATTCGTGGTGTTTTAACTTGCCCTTTACATTCTTTTTTTTCTTTTGCCAGCTGTGTGTAGCCTTAAAAACCAGCAACCAAACAACCCCTGCAAAGGGAAGAATAGATTTGTAATTGCCGTAAAGGCCCTATTCCCAGAGAATCATTGCCATTTCATCTGCCTGGTGGCTCCCTGGAAAAACCCCTTTGCAAAGCTTTTAATCATTTGACCTGACTCAGAACTTGTTCAGTGGAAAAACTCTCATGGTGTTTATCAAAGGCAATCAGCATCAATTATTTAAAACAGAAGCTGTCAGAGTCAGTGATACCAGTTGCCCCAAACAAAGTTACGCAAAATGCTTAAAAGGAAAACAAATGTTACAAAATGTCCATATGGGGCTTTGATAGACTCCAAATATTACTGGGTTTGTGTTTACAACCCAGAACACCAGGGAGCTCCCTAATTTCTCACTTCTACTGGACCTTCAGGAGCTGCAAAAGGTGGAAATTAATGATAATGCTTAATTGTCAACTATGCCCCATCACATAAACAGAGCACCTCTACAAAGGCTGGAAGACTTATTGACTCAAGCCATTTCAGTGAAAAATCTATCCAGTTATTAGCTGAACTCCAAGTTAACTGAAGCAGAGACTTCAGTGGCCACACCTGATAAAGAATATACACTTCACAGAATTAGTCCAGGAAAATAACTACATCACAAAGAGAAACAACAAAACCATGATAATAAATAGGAATCTGGTTTCCAGAGTTTCAGCATTTCATGTTGTTTTCTACAAAAAGTTATGAGACTTGAGAAGAAACAAAAAGTATGGCTTATACACAAGAGAGAGAAAAAAAAATACTGGAGCCAATAAAAACCATCTCTTGGGA